TAAATGAACATTCATTATTGTATTCTTTAGATATAAAATTTTAATTAATTTTTTAATAAAAGAAAAGAATTATTTGATAAAATTAATTTAAATATTTTACAAATTAATAAATATATTTTATAAAAAAAATAGTAAAAGAATAAACAAAGATTGATGGTAACTAATAACAAGATAGATTTGGTTTCTCTACAGCTAAATTTGTTAATTGTAAATATTTTTTGTTCTTAAAAATTTTAACTATTAAGTGAAATACTTAGAATCAAAAATAACATATAAAATAGGACATTGTCTGGTATCTTATATTTAAAAGTATTTTATAACAAAAGTATTCTTTATTAAAGTTGATAAAATATAAATTTTAAAAATTCTAACAAAATGCGTAAACCGGGATTCGAACCCGGGTCGGCTGCTTGGAAGGCAGTCATACTAACCACTGTACTATTCACGCTGAAAGAAAAGTTTATTAGGCATATAATATTATTAGATTGTCACAAAATTATATTCTTTTAGAATGCAAACAATGAATATTACAGCTTGTAGATATATAGTTAATATAAATTGACAATTAAAAATGAGGCTCAAATTAAATGATTTTTAGTCTTAAAATGTTATATTTAGAATGCTTCCTATTATAAAAACCAACTAAATATCAAAAACATTAGATATATTTATCATTAACAATAATTCTTATCAATAAAATCACATTAAAAATATTAGGCTTTCATTTAGCATCAGAAGAAGCAAATTTCTTACATATAAATATTAATTCACTATACATTTTAAAGAATTTCATACTATAGATGTTATTCAATATTTTTTATTTTGTGAAAGTTCAAAGGATTTATGCATTTATTCAACAGTATATTTCATTTTACATCTCATGAGGTTTTTAAACAGAATTATACTTGTAAAACATGAAAAAGGGTTCTTTTTAAGTAGGTTTTAATTTATATAAATAATAACCTCATTATATGCATAGCTACTTTTAAAATTAATACCTACAGCATGTTATCAATAACATAGTTTATTTTCAAAAAGAAAAAAATAAATAATGAATGTTGATAAAATTAATATTTAATTTTTCAATATAAATTTACATCTCAATGATATTACGTATTCTAATACTATAAAACCATATTATACTTACATTGTAAAAGATTTATTTTGTAAGATATTTTTAAAACTTTTCAATTAAAATATTTATTATTGCTTAATTGGAAGGAGAATTTTTTTACTATTTCTATATATGCATTCTATTATCTTGATTAATCATTTTTCCTAAAAATAAATACTTCTCAATTTATGAACTGAAAATGAATTTTTAAAGGATAAAGAGACAGTATTAAATAAAAATTAACACATAAATTTAAAATTATGTTTAGTAGATCATTAAGACTGAAAATAAAATAAAAATGTTAATTAAATTAATAAAACCTAAAAAAATATACAAAAAAGACAAGGTATCCTTCCTTAGATTAAAATATTACCTAAAATAATTAAATATATATAAAGGATATTGAAATGCCTTGATTGGAGCTTCTACCTACGAAGGAATCTCTTAAGAAAATTATTATAAGTTTTATTTTTAGCAAATAAATCTTTATTATCATTTTTCTTTAATTCTTTATTTCTCTCATAAGATATCTCTAATATATTATAGAAATATTATTAGAATTTTATTATTTTTATTTACTTCAATTTAAAAATAAGAATTAATTAATGATTACAACCATTAATTTAAAATCTGTTCCTTTGTTGTTGAATATCAAAAAAAAAAGAATCCTTAAAATAAAAAATAAAAACCAGGAATAATTTTAACTTCATTTAAATGTTGTTTTAATTTCACAAAAGATTGTTAAATAATAAATCCTTCTATTAAAATATTTAAAAGAAATAATTTATTTTAATAATTTGATTTCTGTTGCTACAATTCTTCTAAATCAAAATTTAGACTGAATTCCTTACTTATAAAAGTATCGTGTTAAAATGATTATATAACTTATATAACTATCTGAAAGAATATTTATTTTCTTATATCATAATGCTACCAAAAAATATTTATTTAATAGTTTTTTTATTACTACCCCTAAGAAAGCATGAAAGAAAGAAGAATGAATGATGAAGAGTATACATTAAATAAACTACCTAAAAGTATATATCTTACCCATTTAATAAAAGCTTCATCAACCACAAGGTTGAACACATAATTAATATAATTGATAATGTTGTAGAATAATCCTCAATGACAATATTCTTTTGAAAGTTTTTTAAAAAATTATATTTTAAGATGTATTTTTTTATGAATTATTATAAAAACATTCACTAGTCAAATGATTTAGTAAATTTTTCTTTCTTGGGTCAATGCAGTATCTCATTCTCCTATAACCCTTATAAATGTTTCCTATTTTTATCCTATCATTCATTTATATTTAAAACTATAAAAAGTCCTCTAATATTAGTCCTTTATCTCTCTAAAATCAATCAATAGATAATCCAGCAGTTAAAATTTGTTCTAACGTAATAAAAATATCTGGAAACAATAAATTTAATTGTTTGTTCTTCTTTAAATGCTTATTTTAAGGTATTAATTTCATAATTTGTGTATCCTAATAAATTACAATGACTAATTCTTTTATTTTTATTATAAAATCAAAATATTTAGTTTTATTCTAATTTTTTAGATTTGCAAAATTCATGAGCTATTAATTCTGTTACCTTGGATCATTGTACTTTGCTACTTTATTTATCTATTTTTATAAATTTTAAAATCTCCAATTACAAAAAATTCTACTTTAAATATAAAATCTTCTCTTTTTCTGTATTGCTTTT